CCAGGGCGGGCTTTATACGATGATGGACAGATGATCTGCAAGGACGTGATCATCACGTTATCAAAGAGCGCTAACTGGTTTCCCTCAGAGATGACTGCAGCTGGAGAATTGAGATTTATAGATTCCGCTGTCGCGTCTGTTTTTAAAATTAATCGACAGCGTATTCATTTTAATAGACAAACAGAAAACTGCAATCAAGGCATTTGTCGATCGGAAAGATATTCGGCAAAAGTGTAACTTATCAGCTGACTCTGACGGTCGCTAAGAAGATGGGACGTAATGAAAAGCATGTGGTCGTTGTGGTTTCTCCTTTGGTCGCACTGATGAAGGACCAAGTGAAAGAAGCAACACTCGTTATTTTACTAAAATAAGCAAGTTCTGTAGTTGACAACTGTATGCAAAGTATTTGACCTACTGCGTTGCTCTGATTGGTTGTAGGTCTGTCCAACTATCCAATTGAGTGCAGAGGTTGTTTTTTCCTGGTTCGGTTAAGACACGCCTCATAATCAAAGCCATACAGAGCGGTCTCAGACTCATATTCTGACTAGAATACGAGTATGACGAAGTCAGGCTAACACAAGTGCAACAGTGGTGCAATTCCGAGCAACATAGTAGTCATGACATGATGGATGTATAACAGTTTACAGTAAACATCTGATTACATGATTCTCTGGTGTGTGTCCTGATGCTGCGGTATCGCTGGCCTGAGGGTAGCAGTGAGAGCAGCCCAAAGCTCGGGTGGCTCAAGTCTCAAAACACAACGCCTGCAATATATATCCTGGTGACAGGGAAGCTCGCCTCCGATGATACGGCTGGCAGTGTGCACTACCATTTTGCTGGACTTTGCGGTTTCGAGCCGTAGTGTTGCCATACCAGGCAGTGATGCAGCCGGTCAGGATGCTTTCGATAGTGCTGGTGAAGAACCGTGAGCTGTCTCAGGAAGAAGGAGGAGCTGATGAGCCTTCTTCACGACGGCCTCGGTGTGGACGGACCATGTGAGTTCCTCTGTGCTGTGGACACCAAGGGACTTGAAACTGCTGCCTCTCTCCACCGGTGCTCCATTGATGGTGATCAGGCTGTGATCTCTGTTGTTCCTCCTGAAGTCGACCACTAGCTCCTTGGTTTTGCTGATGTTGAGGGAGAGATTGTTCTCCTGGCACCAGTGTGTCAGAGTGAGCACCTCCTCTCTGTAGGCCGTTTCATTGTTATCAGTGATCAGACCTACCGTCGTGTCATCAGCAAACTTGATGATGGTGTTGGAGCTGTGAGTTGCCACGCGTTCACTTGTGTACAAGGAGTACAGGAGTGGGTTGAGAACACATCCATGTGGGACTTCAGTGATGAGGAGATGTTGCTGCCCATTCTGACCACCTGGCGTCTGTTTGACAGGAAGTCCAGGATCCAGCTGCCCACAGCCCGGAGTTTCACATCAAGTGTGGACGGCACTATGGAGTTGAATGTTGAGCTGTAGTCTACAAACAGCATTCTCACATACTGAATGCGTTTCTTTTTTTTCCAGGTGGGAGAGAGCAGAGTGAATTGTAGATGCAATAGCATCGTCTGTGGAGTGGTTATTGCGGTATGCAAACTGCAGTGGGTCCAGTGAGGGAGGTAGAACAGAGCAGCTGACTATTCTCTCAAAGCATTTGCTGATGATGGGGGTCAGAGCAACAAGACGCCAGTCATTTAAGCTGGTGATGTTTGACTGCTTCGGTATAAGGACAATGGTGGACATTTTGAAGCATATTGGGACTACAGACAAGGAGAGGGACAGATTGAAAATGTCTGTAAAAACACTAGCCAGTTGGTTCACACACTCTAACTGTACAATCACACCACCGCCGACTTGAGCTTCCAAAGCGGCCGGAAGTCATTCATTTTCAATGGAAGCTGGCTTCTCTCAGCTGCAAGAAGCGTCAAATTCCTCGGCTTCGCGTTTTGGGCGTTTTGAGCGTCAATCTGAAAGTTGAAAGAAGCTCAACTTTATGGTAATGAGCTATGGTATGGGCAAGCAGCGGCAAACGCCAGCAACCAATCGGAATAAAGACGTCCTTCACTCTGGCTGATTCCGGAGAAACATACGATGTGAACTTTCGTTCCTACCTAAACATTAGTTCCGAGAAAATGGAGGAGAAGCTGAAAATCTCCGAGTCCGACGTCTTCTCCGCCAATACAGTAAAGCAGCACCAAACACAACAACTTCACGATTTTCCATAATGATCCAGTGATAAACATTTGAGATTGAGAATGAGCGCAACTTTTATTCGAAATATTTACGAACGCTCGCTAATAATAATAGCTAATTATTATTTTTTCCCCGACCAAATGTGACCAAAGCGGTTATAAAAATGCTGTCATTATAAAAGTTTTCTTCAATGTATTGCTTGTTTTCTCGTTTTATTACATTTCATGTTGTGACACTTCTCTTCTCCCTGCAACGTCAGAGCGTTCAAAGCGTCAACAAGCTTCCCCATGCTTTTTTGACAAGCGTCCTTGACAGAGCGGCCAGAGCTTCTTTGACGCTCAAGGACCCGCTAGGGCTGGGCGATGTATAGCACGATATTGTTATGCGCATCTCTTCAGTAAAGCCGGTTCCTTGATTAGTAGTAAATCACCTTCACCTGCTTTCAGATGGAAGATATGATGCAGATATGAGTGTTAAATTAACACTCAAGAGTGTTAAAGTTAATGAGATAATTAAGTGATTAATTTAGTGATGATTGAGCATAGGGCTGGGCAATATATCGCACGATATTGTTATGCGCATCTAATCAGTAAAGCCGGTTCCTTGATTAGAAGTAAATCACCTTCACATGCTTTCAGATGGAGCGGCATTTACTACAAAGAGCCGTAGATCACTGACAAGCTGAGCCAAATCGAGTTAATATCAAGGACGTGAAGTGGGGTGCCCACTTGAAAACCCAGTGAAGTCGACAGGTCTGAACCATTCAGCTCTGCCCTCAGGTGAAGACGTCTGAAGGAAGCGGCTTCCATGCTAGCCACCCACATAAGGAGCAGGACGTAACTCCAGCCAAGTGTGGTGGCTGCGATATACCCTATCTTTAAAGACACACTCAAGAGCGTTAAAGTTAATGAGATAATTAAGTGATTAAATGAGTGATGATTGAGCATTATTGAAGACACCTAAAGCAGAATCACAAGGAAAAATTTTAAGCCACCGTTATGGAGATGAGTGTTTGCTTTAGTTGGGCTCTTCACCCTTATATTATTAACTTTATATTAAAATTTGCTGTTGCATCTGAGTTATACCTGCCAGATGAACAAAGATAAACAATTATAAACTGATGTTGGACATAATGACATTCATCATTTGAAATTTATGTCTGTGATTTATTCTGTTGGTTAGTGTATAACTGAGATTCTGTATAAATATCCAGAATGTTAAATATAATATAATAGATTTCTTAAAAGTTGTTTTTAAAAAAAAAAAAAATCTTTCTTTTAGGCACACACAGACCTCAAGATTCAGTCAATGCTTCTCAACAATGGTGACGAGTAGAATATTCAAGTAGGAAAAGTAAATTACGTAGACAATATAGATCACAATTTATTCAAACTGCAATGCATGATGGGAGCCATTAATGAGTTGTGATGGGAGGCAACAAGGACTATTAATGTCACCACACTTGAGATAGACAGGCTGATTATTGATCTCTGTGTTCTAAATAAAGATGAAATGTTTTGATCGGTTTAATTTTTATTAAATATTTTAGGTTATAAGAAAAATACAGATATGATGTACAATCACTAAAATGTTGCTAACAAGTTAAACCAATTCATCTGAAAAGTTTCAGTTCACGGATCACAGCATGATTATGTTAAAACGTAACCAACACTATCAAATCATAGATTACTTTGTTCATTTGACTGTTTTAAATCAATAAAAGCAGACAAACAAATTTTAAAGTGAAAGTATAAGTGTCAAGAGCCCAACTAAAGCAGACACTGATCTCCATAACGGTGACTTACAATTTGTGATTTTGTCCTTCAGTGATTCTGCTTGTGATCATCAGGTGTCTTCAATAATGCTCAATCATCACTAAATTAATCACTTAATTATCTCATTAACTTTAACACTCTTGAGTGTTAATTCAACACTCATATCGTCCATTTGAAAGCAGGTGAAGGTGATTTACTACTAATCAAGGAACCGGCTTTACTGATTAGATGCGCATAACAATAACAATATCGTGCGATATATTCCCCAGCCCTAATATATATGTTTAAATCAAATTTCTATGAACTTGTATTTTTAAAAATGAGAAGCAATTTTTCAATTAATCTATATCTATTAGATTGGACACAAATAATTTGTTTTATTTAAATCTATTTATTTTTGTTTCGATCATAAATAGAATTAAAATTAATTGACTTTCTTCAACATATAAAAACATACATTGTGCCAGGTTTTATAAAATTATTTTCATAGACATGGAAAATATTGTTAATTATTTATCATTGGCTCAAGTTATAAAATATAGATGTGAACCATTACTGTTTTTAAATTGGAAGAATGAAAACGTTTTTTTTTTTTTTTTTTTTTTTGGCCCCATCAAATAATGTTAAATAAAATATAGCAATAATATATAGATTTACAAGACTAGCTATATGATATCAATATTGTTCATTTTCTTTAGTCTTTTTACACTAGGCTTCTTAACAGTTTTAAGAGTGAAACGGATAGGCCTGGTCAACGCATTGCGTTCATACGAATGAAGAGAATCTCGTCGCTGTAATTTCAAACATACTTATTTTATTTATTTGATGTTTTACAATGTCTTTGCAGGGATCCTCCACGTTAAATTACGATGACATAAACTGACAAAATGAAATGGAATCAGCGATAAAGAATAGCTCAAATCGTAGCATACAAACCGAAAGTAAAACACGAAAGTACGAAAACTCTGGATAAAATACACAAGTACACCATTATTTCCATCAAAGTTAATCACAAATTATGCGTAAAGGCAGAAAGTCACCTCTGGTCTCGGTTGTGGGGCTTGAGGACGACATGATTCAGATTTAGAGCAGACCACCGCGTCCTCGTTGGTAATGGAGCATATCTCCACTGCGAACACCGGAAGCAGAGCAAGCGAGATGGTCCTCACTGCGGAACATGAAATCCATGGGGAGGAGTCTGATCCAGATCCAACTCCTCCCACCTTACATACACCTAAACCTAACCAACTCCGCCCCCTGATCCCTAAACCCACCCCTAATCCCTAAACCCAACCCTAATCCTACCCATCTCCACCCTCACGAGATCCATAGACATCATATAGATAGACGCCCCATCGACCGCTACTGTCTATTGGCACGGACGAGCCGTGGAGCCGCCATCTTAAACCGGGCATCCACTCTGCTCAGTGTAATCTGTTTGGCAGGTGAAATGAGCTGACAGCGCTTTTAATTAATCTATATGTCACTGTTCGGCGTATTTTAATATCCATAGTAGGCTTAACAGTAATATAATATTCTGATATAAGATATAAAGTGACCAGACACAATATGTGTGATGAAGGATGTATTTTATAAATCACACACTATAAATATGATAAAGAAGCAGAAACAGATAGTTGCAGTAAAGTAAGATATTTTAATAAGTGTTGAAGAAACAATCTATGATTTGTTGTACAAATAATAAATAGTTTTCTATCATATTTAATAGGGCTATTAGTATTGCTTTACACAGGCTACCTTGTTATAATCCCTTATTAAACTTTGTATATAAAATTTTGTTTTAAAATCCGTAAACCTAAGAAAATGTCCTTTTTCATCTAATATATCAGTGATGAAGATGATTCCCTTTTCAAACCAATTTCTGAAAAAAAAGTGTTTTCCTTTTTAGTTATCACTCTGTTGTTCCACAAGGTGGAGCCATGTGTTGTAAAATTATCTTCCAGTAATGAAGAACTTGTTTAAGATATTCAGACAGTTTTACTGGCAATTTGGATACCTTGAAATCGCACTTTGAAAGGAACTCTAAGCCTCCCACTTTATCAAAAATATTTTTGGGAATATGATACCATATAGGGAATCAGGTTTATCTAGAAAGGCTTTTACCCAGTTGGTTAATTCTAAAAACTCCAATCAAAATCAATTGTTTTTAACCCTCCTTTATTATAGTCCTTTAAAAGTTGTGATTTTTTTGATGTAGTGCGTTTTATTACGCCAGATTAATTGGTAAATTTTAGTATTTGCTTTTCTTATGTTTTGTGAAGGGAATAGCTTGGATAAATTAATGTATTAACCCCGTTCTGATTTTAACAAGGTTACGTAAAATAGTTAAGTCTCTTGTTAACCAATGATTTTAGTTTCTTTTTATTTCTTCAAATTTCTCTGTGATATTCTTGGATTCTCTTTTTTTTTTTTTTTTAGATTTTTAGATAGATTTTTAGATCCAAGTTTTTGGATAGATAAATGCCCAAGTAACATCATTCTTGACTGGAATCCTCTCAAGTTTTTCTCAGTGCAAATATATAAAGGTACTATTTCATATTTCTTTAAATTAAGGCAAAGGCCTGATGCCCTGGAAGAAATCACATTTAAAGCCTTCTGAAGAATTGATTTATCCTTTAGAAATATCACATTTTCAATTCGGTGTTAACTTTTATCCCTTCAAGGTCTTTATTATTTACTACAAAATATAGGCCAAAAGCTGCGAACAGAGAATGAATAATTTTGGTGAAATTGGGCACCCTTGTCTTATTCCACAAGAGACATTAATTCTTGGAGTGACGTCTGATTGAAGTGAAATATAACTGTATATTTGGTCATAAAACATTCTGATTACCTTACAAAAGTTTTTTACCAAACCCAAAATGTTGGAGTGAGTCCAGTAAAAAGTCGAAAATGTCCGATAGAATCAAATGCCTTGAAAAAATCAAAAAACAATAGTTCGTCAAAAAGCCAACTAGTTGAGACTTTTGGTCTACTAGTTCGTCATTTTGTCGAAGTAGTTTGAACAAAATTATTACTAGTATGATGAAATAAGTGCGTACTATTAGGATAGGCTATTGAATAAATGCTCAAAGGGCTTTCCATAAGTAGCAATTTAATTGTTGATATCTAGAATAGACATTTCAACTATTGACAATTTAATTATTGATATCAGAAATGAGGAGTTGTTTAATGAAGTTTGAGCCTGACATCAAATGTTTAGATGTCAGCCCAATTTTTATTTTCAACCAAAATCAATGTCCAATGTAGCTGGGGTGACTCACATTGTGGCCATTATATGAGCACACAGTGAGTGCAAAGTTACACTTTTAGCTCACATTTGATCATATGGAGAGATCACTGCGAGATAAACGTGTTGACTGGGAAGTCACTGAGCAAAAGTATAATTGTTTCAACTCAAAATCTGAATTTTTATTTATTTATTTTTGTGCAGGATTTACTCCAAATGTTGCTGTAAACAAAACTTAATTTATTATGAATAAATTATATTTCCAAAGTATTGGTTTGGTATTGTGTGTGTGTGTGTGTGTGTGTGTGTGTGTGTGTGTGTGTGTGTGTGTGTGTGTGTGTGTGTGTGTGTGTGTGTGTGTGTGTGTGTGTGTGTGCGTGCGTGTGTGTGTGTGTGTGTGTCTGTGTGTGTGTGTGTCTGTGTGTGTGTGTGTGTGTCTGTGTGTGTGTGTCTGTGTGTGTGTGTCTGTGTGTGTGTGTGTGTGTGCCCGGGTGGCTGTTCTCTCTCTCTTTACCAGATTTTTTTTATTTGTATAACAGTGGGGGTAAAGCTCAAAGCTCCGCCTTCCAACATTTTTAGAGTGACGTGTTTAGTTTAAAATCGAAAGCAGATGAGATCTCAGACTGTTGTAGCCTAAACATCGCGAGTGCATCTGAATACAACTTTTATCGCGAAGTACTTTCTTGTGAAGGTAAGATTAATAACGACAGCACATTTTCCTTTATTAGCCTAAGTTGCTTAATTTCGCAGCGATTGTGCGAGAGACATTAACTTGAACTCATATTAGTTAGCCTAACAGGCTATACGAGACTAGGCTAATTAATAGATCTTTTAAAACGCCATCATGAATAACGTATAAATTATGATCTCATTTTCATAATTTAATCAAATTTAACTTGGGATGCCTAAAGATCGAAAGAATTTCACAATTGTTAGGAGAAAATTGGGATTAAAATGTCTACAAATGATAACTACTTTTCCAGGTTTAATTAAATTAAATTAAAATCTGTCATTATCTTAAACAGTTGCAATCTTAGATATTCGATCTGCTCATATCACCGTGTGTTTGCAAGACATTGTAATTATTTTATGATCGTGCACTAGGCCTAGGCCTACTTCCTTGTTTGTCGCATCGAGAGAAAATTTTCCTTTTTTATAAATAATTCACCTATAATTTATAAAAAAATAGTCGTTTTTGGTCGTCACGTACAATCCCATATGATGAAAACTACAGTTTGTTACTTTACTGTGCAGTTATTTGAGTTATTTTCACATCTGTTCATAACTCCGTATCAGAACATACCAGGAAGAATTCTGCCTGGCAACAACTGATGTGACGTATACCAGAAAAAGCGTCCTACAGTATTTTTGCCACTGCTGCAGGACAGATGTAGCCTGGCTGCGCCATCCTACGCAGTTTTGCTCAATTTCATTTTCCTTCAGTACAAATGCATAGCTGTCAACATTGAACATTGAAAATAAGGGAGTTTTCCCGGAATCCTTCCCCAAAATAAGGGATTTTGTTTTACACGATTCTTACCCACAAACTTTAAAAATAAAGCACTAATCCTTAAAAGTCTAAAGAGTTAATAACTAGCCTAGAAACTAGTGTCAATTAAAGAAAAAAAATCTACATTTGGATTAGCGGTGTGTTGCTCTTGCCTTTACGGCAACAATTTCAACTGTTATCACATCTTCCAAAACCCACAAAATAGGGAAGTGGGCTGTCTGTTTATTTCAATTACATTTACACATTTTATGTAGTTTTAAAGAGCCTATATTTAGCCTGGTGGTGGACCGTCACTCAGAAGACACACTCTGTTGTTATTGTAGCCTATCCCATCTTTATATCCTCCTGAGACCCAGAACGTTTTTTTTCCAAAAGTTTTTTCTTCTTCTTTGTGTAATCATTGTTAAGAGCATAAGAAACAAATGAAAAAAGAAAAAAAAAGAAAAGATATTTTATTCATGTTATATGACATTAAATTATATATAGGCAAAACTAATGGCAATATAAATCGATTATTATAATTATTATTTGTTTAAATTACATTGATATCTGAATTTATGTAAAAACCTTGACTTTCAAACATCAAAATGTAAAATGTAGGCTATTCGAGTACAAAATAAACATCGTTTCCTATTTTGTATTTATTTTTTTTGCCTGGAAACGCTTTCAACACGCTTGCGTGTCGCGTGAAAAAATAGGCGTCAGTTCTATTTCTAGCATGCACGCGTTTTCTGGAGTGTGCAAGCTCTAATCTATGGAAGCTTGTTTCCGCCACTGAATAAAAAAATAAAATAAATAATTGCGACTTTTTATCTCACAATTCTGACTTTTTTTCTCACAATTGCGAGATAAAAAGTCCGAATTGCGTGATATAAAGTCGCAATTGCGAGTTATAAAGTCAGAATTGCGAGATATAAAGTCAGAATTGCGAGATATCAGAATTGCGTGATATAAAGTCGCAATTGCGAGATAAAAAGTCAGAATTGCGAGATATAAAGTCGCAATTGCGAGTTATAAAGTCAGAATTGCGAGATAAAAAGTCAGAATTGCGTGATATAAAGTCGCAATTGCGAGATAAAAAGTCAGAATTGCGTGATATAAAGTCGCAATTGCGAGTTATAAAGTCAGAATTGCGAGACATAAAGTCAGAATTGCGTGATATAAAGTCGCAATGCGAGTTATAAAGTCAGAATTGCGTGATATAAAGTCGCAATGCGAGTTATAAAGTCAGAATTGCGTGATATAAAGTCGCAATTGCGAGTTTTAAAGTCAGAATTGCATGATATAAAGTCAGAATTGTGAGATTTAAACTCTTCTGATGGGGGAAAAAGAATTGGCCTAATAAGTCGCAATTGCGAGTTTATATCTCACAATTCTGAGAAAAGATGTCAGAATTTCGACATATAAACTCGCAATTATGTGTTATAAAGTCAGAATTGCGAGATGTAAACTCGCAATTGTGAGAAAAAAAGTCACACTTCTGTCTTTTTTCTCAGAATTGCGACTTTATATCTCACAATTCTGACTTTATATCACGCAATTCTGACTTTATATCTCGCAATTCTGACTTTATAACACACAATTCTGACTTTATAACTCGCAATTGCGACTTTATATCACGCAATTCTGAGAAATAAAGTCAGAATTGTGAGATATAAACTCGCAATTGTGAGAAAAAAAAGTCAGAATTGTGAGAAAAAAAGTCAGAATTGTAAGATAAAAAGTCACAATTCTTTATTATATTTTTTATTCAATGGCGGAAACAAGCTTCCATACTAATCTGTTAACATGGGAGCCGAAATAAAAACGGACATGCCACACAGCCAGTGTGTCTCCGGCCAGCGCGCGCGGCGCCGCATCTGAGAATAAACGACTTCAAGCCGAATCAGTCCGAGCTCGTACGTCTCACACAATCAGAGTAAAAATACGGGATATTTTACGGGAAAATACTAAAACGGGAAGACAGCGGGAAAAGAGTAAAAATACGTGAGAAACCCGGAAAAAACGGGAGGGTTGACAGCTATGCAAATGAAATGTATGTACGAGAGTCTGGTTGGTCCGTGTACGTTTTGATAGTTTTTTTTTTTTAACCACAAAACAAAATAAGGAGAAACCTTTTTTCGTTTGTCGTTTCAAACCAAAAACAAAGAAACGGTAAAAAAGAGCCGTTCTCCCGTTTTTGTTTCTGAATCCAAAAACGAAAAATGACAAAACCAAAATAAAAATAACGGTCCGATTTAGTTTTTTTGAAATTCCTTTTTCCATTTTTCCGTTTGAAGATCTACATTAAAACAATTGCTAGCTTTGGGATATACTATCATACTATCAGCAACAACTCTGCACACATAATAAGTTCTACCTATATTACCAACTGTAATGAGCCAAACAATGCGCTCATTAAACGTGACTGGTGATGTTTGGATAGGCATGATATTAAATAGCTATAATAAACTACTGTTGCTAACATATTTATTCCAGTCCAGGTTTATATAAGCCTATTTATTCATTGATTCTTCTTGACTAACGTTACTCTGGTATAACGTTAGTGCTGCATATTATGACCGTTCTAAAACCTTGGCTTTTATTTTGATAGGCCATATTAATTTACTATTACTTCTGGGTCACGTAAATACTCACATATACATATAAACTTCCATGGACATACACATACACACTCGCACATACATATAAACTTCTATGCATATACACCTACCTGTATAAATACTCACATGGCTACGCTCTGCTTATGTGGCTAATTCATATAAAGTGTGTATTTCTCTCTATAAATAGCCTAACTCTATAGTTCACTAACAGTGAAGATGGCGAGTCTGCATCCTCAGCTTTATCAATTTATCAACTTTATCAACAATTCAAATGTGTAAATTTATTGATATTTCTGTTTTCTGCAGAGACATTTTGAAAAAAAATGCAGGGAAACACCCAGACGAGAATTCAGCAGAAAGAGAAAGATATGGCGCTGATGGAGACTGTGGCGTCTCATGAGGTGAGTTTGGAGAAGAAGAGAAGCTTGAGTCTCAGTTTGGACTTTCCTCCAGTGCTGGAGCTCTTCTTGTCCCACTGAAACCACTGTGTGTGTGTGTGTGTGTGTGTGTGTGTGTGTGTGTGTGTGTGTGTGTGTGTGTGTGTGTGTGTGTGTGTGTGTAATAGCACTCTGCAGTGGGGGACAGTGAGAGGATCTTCACTGAGCTCATCCCATTTCTTTTAGTTTTTAATTGTTTTGTTTAAAAGTACACATTTCAAGCTTTCTATAGATATACAGGTCTGTGAGGCAAGTAGTTTATATACGCAGAGTTTCGGTTCATTTACACGCTCCAGTTCATGCGCCAGCGTCTCTGTTTCCTGATCACTGTCCACTATATTTGCTTCTTATTTATGAATCCAGACAAATTTGTTGATGAAACATTGATTACAATAAAGATACAATTTATAAAAAACTAAATAAACTTTAAAGAAAGACTGTCTACAAAACAAAACTTTAAGTAGCCTACACTGTAAAAAAAATGCCCTGTAAAATAATGGTAATCTACTGGCAGCTGTGGTTGCCAATAATGTACTGTTAATTTACAGCTCTCCTTTTTGACAATATATTACCATAAAAATAACATGGCAGGCAAATCATATAAAATGGAAAACTGAATGCTTTAAACTGTTCGAGTTCAAAAACTAGTCCTTATCCTGATAGTACCGTTCAATTCCTTCATTAGAGTCCACTGTAAATTTATATCTCTTTAAATAAAACTGCAAACATCTAATATGTAATAGCGAATTCATTAAAAACATGATTTTAACGACTTTAACATAAGCTTTTCTTTGCCTACTCTAACTGTGTGTTCATAAGACACATTTGTTGTGACAAAAACAAGGACAACAAAAATGAGATCAGTTGTTGATGATTATGATGTCATTATATAATGTTTGGATCACCGATCTCAGCCTGTGTCTGTTCCTTTTCAATAATGTGTAGAAAATTTTCCTAGACTGGATTTTTAAACTCATCATTAACTAAAAAATGTTGAACTATGGTTTTACTTGGACACACCCTTACATCAAGAAGCAGCCAATGAATCTCAGAAATGGTGACATTAAACAAAAAAAGATAACATTACATTTGAACATCCCAAAATACGCAACTAAAAGTCAACACAAAACCAAAAGCAAAAATAAAAGCAAAAAGTACAAATTAAAGCATATAAGCAGACAATTCAGCGGTATAATTTATTCATGCTGCAATGCATGCTGGGAGGCATGGATTTTTTTGGTACCCAACATGTATTGCAGCATAAAACGTATGATTGTCACCATTGTTGAGATTCATACGCAGATTCATGATGCCTGTGCAGGGCTCTAGAGTGCGACCAATTTGGTGCCAATATTGCGACCAAAATTTGTAAGGGTGCGACCAAAAATTTTTCCTAGGTCGCACCAAAATTCTTCCTAGGTAGCACCAGTGCACCTAATGATCGCATCTGCTGACTCCCCACAAACAAGTCTTATGTTCTCCTTGCACGCACGGTTGGATCATATCCCGGTCTAAACCAATCAGAGATTGGCCGGGTCTTTGCCTCTGATTGGCTGTGGTTCAGATCTAGGACTAAAATGCTCCGTGCTGTGTGATATGAAATAAATTGCGACATGAACACCAGAGAATCAGTTACGGCAATCAGCAGCAGAAGAAACAAACGACGAAGAAACTTTAAAAAACTAAAAAACTACTTGAACTAGGGCTAGGTAAAAAAATAATGATTTCTCAAATTTTAATCATTCTCATTTTTAGGAACCGTTGGGCTATGCTGTTTTCAGTTGATGAATGAATGGAACATTGTAGCACGCATCCCATCCAATAAATCGCAATAATCTTTGTGCTTTGTTACTATTGATATGAAACAAAGTCTCAGATTTCAAAATAGGTAAATTTTCTTACGAAATTCCAAAATATAAATAGTGTATTGATGCTGTGGCGTGAGATCGCTTTGGCTCAGCTCAGCTCAAGAGAAGCAGCAGAGCGGAGCGCACATGATCTCCTCTTATGCCTTAATAATACCAGTTACAGCGCGATATAAACATGAACAAGCATCTGAAAGTGTATTATAAGATAGAGTACAACTTATCGAAATCTGTATCTTTCACATGGAATTTCACATGGAGCTCAATCAGTGTTTCAACCGTGGAAAGACGTCAGTAAAACGCGTGTAAACAATGTAATGTAACGTCACATTTACCTCAGAAAAAACATATCTAGTGACCATAAACTCGTTAGTCAGCTAGAAAAATTAACTATAGAGGAGCATTTTGCCATATATATGCACCATATTACATATTCATTATAATTTTTAATTATTTTCAATATTTAATGCATGCTGTTTGAAAAAATCTGGGAAGTTTTTATGCAGCCACCATTTACATGTTTATATTTCATATAACATTATTATTATAAAAATAAATAAAAGTGTAATTTAAAGCCACACTGTGAAACTCTTCAACCTTTATAATATATTACCAAAACCGATTGAGATGGTACATCGACTTACAATAGGTTGAATGACACGTCTGCCGTAGCCTGAAGGTGTCTGTATCACTTTTACTTGCACTTTGTAACTTCGGGTTTCGGGTAGGAACCCGAGCACAAAAAGAACTACAAAATTGGACCGCTTTACGGCATACGTCACTTCCCCCACCACCCACAACTTCCTCAGATTTTGACGTTAGTGCTCAACTCGCGTTTGATTGCCGTCTGTATGTTTTCGTCATGCCGAACAACAGCTACAAGGAAGAAGGCAACGATTTTATCTGAGGAAACTAAAAAAAGAAAAGGGGAGAGTGACAAATTAAAAGCCAGGACGAGGATTAACATTGGTCCAGCTTTCGCTTCGCTCGCTGGCGTGAGCGGAAGGTGCTCGACCGATGCGGACGCTTGCCTGCATACAAATGCTGTTTCCAAGGTAACCCAGATAAATTCATATAAGCAGTGTAGTATTTTCTAGTATTCCGGCCACAGCTGATGGTGTTATGAGTGTAATAAAATGCCCACAACCCAATGTTCATTTCTACACACAAACACAGCCCGCCTCAATGCAGAGCTCACACTAATAAAATCGACTCATGTCAAATATAACGTTACATTAAATGTAGTGAACGCCCACGACTCAGTGGTACCCACAAACACTAACGTTACACACAACATGTCCCACGGTTTATGTAAAAATAAAGCAACACACATACGTTACAGTCAGCTCAGGCCGACGGTGTTTTCAGTGCAGTGAATGTGCCCGCTGTCCCACGCCCACATTCACTCACAGACATGATAATCCCCACGGGGATCACCCCGCTCGCTCTCTCAGCCGGCTGCTGTAAGGAAATCGAGCGCGGCAAGGCTGCCCACCTCAAACACTGCAAGCACACACAATCTAAAGACACGGGAGGGCTGACCGCTTGACTGTTTGTTGACTTTAATTTGCGACAGCCGGGGGCACTTGTGGCCTCTACGCTAGACGTGAAAGTTACAGGTCGAGCGCCATCTAGTGGCCAAAAAGTTCCGCAGTGTGCCTTTAAGTGTTTTTGTACAAATCAGGTAGTTTTACCTTCAATATTATAGTAGGCTAATGAAGCTAATTATCTCATTAACTTTAACACTATTGAGTGTTAATTTAACACTCACTGTAACACTTTAACACTCTTGAGTAGCGCTGGGCAATATTAGGGCTGGGCGATATATCGCACGATATTGTAATGTGCATCTAATCAGTAAAGCCGGTTCCTTGATTAGTAGTAAATCACCTTCACCTGCTTTCAGATGGAGCGGCATTTACTAGTCTTGAGTCTGGAGCCAACTCCTAGGAAAGTTAATTTAACACTGGAGTTTTTGCTGTGTGAGTTCATGGGTGGAATAAAAATATGGCAGGACTTTTACTTTCTGACCCCTGGACTTTCCACCTCTGCTTAATGGTAGGGACTTGAGACTTGAACATCTGTGAAGATGAATGTGCATTTAATATTGGCATTTATATAGTAGAAATGTGAAATTATTTGTGAAATTGAAGCATTTTTGATTGAGAAAAGGCAGAAAATGTAATTTTTACTAAAGATGCACCGATTACAGTTTTTTAGGCCGATACCGATATCCGATTTTTCCTTTGTTTGACCTGCCGATACCGATTTAAGCCGATTCCGATTTCATTTTTTCAAACCACTTTAAAGCACACACAAATATTTATTTTCTATCTTCTCTTTAATAGAACAGTTTGCATAGAACATTTTGAACAGATAATTGCTATAAAACAGAACTATTTAAATTACTCCTGGTGTGGGAAATTCACACACGACTAAAGTGCAGTGTTATGAAAGAACCATTTCCTTTTCACAACCAATAACAATATATATATATATATATATATATATATTTAGCATTTAAATTCAATAGCATTTTATTTAAAATAAACATAGCCTTATTTGTCTCTCACACACACAGGCCTATTGCAATCACTTGTACAACAATGGCAAGTAATATTTCTCAAAGAGTTTAACTCTCATCTGACACTTGTCCAGCCAGGCTAAACAGGACAAGTGGAGCATGTGCAGGGAAACCATTGGGAAATAATAAAGACAAGTTTAACCTATCCTGAAGTTTAACCCTGAAGTATCCCTTTAATGACACCAGGCTCAGTAAATGACTCGTTTTTCAAAGTGGGGAACTATGACGTCTAGTGACGTGACATTTGAACCAAGGCGTCGGAGCTTGTGTCGAGAAAAAATGGGCGTGCCAGATGAAGCCGCGATTCGAGGCTTGTGTTGTTAACGTGAAAATCACGTGACTAGTGACAAACGAGGCCTTGGTTTGTGTGACGTCATCGGTTCAGTCTGAGTGTCGCTTCCGGATAAAGGGGGTTCGAAGCTCGCGCCAGCTTCTGGGTGTTGCAGGAGTAGTAGAAACAGGTGTAGTGTCAGAGAGTTATAGAAATCTCATTGGCATTGTTGTTATTGTGTCATATATGGGTTGGGGCTGTATATTATAGGGCTGTCAACTTTAGTCGTTTAGTCGACTAATCGGTCGATGCCGTCGTGGTCGACTGACATTCTTATTGGTCGACCAGTTGCATTTTTTTTTTTTTTTTTTTTTTTTTTTACCAATAGTAGGAATTTTTCAATGACTTACTCCTTGATAATTATTCATTTATAAGCAGTTATTTATTACTGTATTCTAAATATAATTAGCCTATGTTTTGTCCCCAACTTTAAAATGCTTTAATTTAGGCTATTTTTGTAACTGCGCCACAGTTTAGCGCACACACATAATACAGTCGGGAACCGCACCTGTGGCCGGCTGCGCTGCTGCTTCACGCTCGGTAAGGGATGCTGTATTCATTCAGTTAGAACGCTGCTTGTTTTGGCTTTAGTCGACAAAATGTCCAGGAAATATAAATCTTTTGTCTGGCTGCATTTTAAAACAAAGACGACAAGACTGTGGAGGGAGGCGATCGCGTTGCCATTATGAGCGCGCAAGTCGCGCGCCTACATTTAAAATCGAACTTGAGCGCGCAAAAGACGTGAGCAGCCTTTTAACGGCTATATCATGCTGACTCAATAGATTGTGTTTTCTTAATGTTTTCGTTTTTATTTGTACACTTGACGCATTTGAAAATAGCCTAAATAATGCAACAAAACGAAAATAAACCTATACGCAGTCCTACAGCCTATTATTAGGATTGTTTTTAAGTTATTTGGGTTTTTTTGAGTGTTGTTTAAAACGCCTTGATCGTCAGGACTAAAGTTAACCCATAGCTTTGAAAGTAAAGAAGAATATAAAGCCTGTATAAACGAGAGCTTTTGTTGGAATTTTTCATTATGTGGCAGATAGCAGTTATATTTTTTGCAGCGTGTGGTGTGGTCAGGTGCGCGAGTGGGACTGTACTATAGACCTAGGACAGAGCTCTTCACTTTTTGCAGTTAAAAAATCACTTAACTTTCAAAGAATTGTATTATTATTATAGTTTTATTTATTTGTGATGTTTTTCGTTGTTGTTTTATAAATGCTCAATGACAATTGTTTAAAAAATGTTTAATCAAAACATCACGTTTTTTTTTTTTTTTTTTTTTTTTTAGTCGACTAATCGTCGAGCAGGACTCGACTTTGGTCGACTAAGGATTTCTTTGGTTGAATACAGCCCTAGTATATTATAAGTTTTTATCAGGTTAGAATACTTATATTGTTATTAATATTTATATGTCATACTCTTGTTATATTAGTTAAATAAGATTATTTGGATTTCTTTGGACTTTTGGATCTGGACTTGGCTGCTTTTTGTTTTGGATTGCCCTTCTGGATGTGTTTGCTTTTTGCGACTCTTTCTTTTTCCTGGTAATGGAGCCAGCAAGAAAGAGGAGATCCTCCCCGTCTGGGGCTGGGCTCAACAGAAGCATCAGTATCTTCATTTATACAGGACAGGAAGGAATTGAGGGAAAAATACAGCATGAAATGAGAGATGAGGAGAAAAAGGCAACCCCCAGACTATGCTCCTATGAATGTTGAATGAAGCTTCGAGTAATGAACATTTTTTGGTGAAGCAATGGGAAGCCTCGTTTTGCCATCACTAACGACGTCAAAGAGGATAAAACACCACCCCCGCAGAAGAAGATCAACGCCTACTTCAACACGGCCAGTTTAGCCCCGCCCACTGATTCGCGCATTACACGCATAGCTTTAATAACATAGATTCCTACCTCGTGATGACAAACGGGATCGAAAGTTAAACTCATTATAATATGTAAAACTGTTCTCCACTCACCGCAGTGGGCGTTTACTTCCAAGTCTTCAGTGTGAGACGCCCATAAAAACTGTGCTTTTTTAGCTAGGCTCAAAGCTAGGGTAGGAAATAGCCTATTACTTATTCATTCTGATGTTTTTGAATGCAAAAACCAAGCGAACGTCATAAGTTGAGCTCAGACAACAATATTAAAAAAAAATTAAAAAGCCAGTTCATGACCCCTTTACAGTAATTATCTCAATAACTAACAGTTTCAGAGTTAGTTTAACTATATGTGGAGAAGGAGCAAATGTTCTCTGAGCAGAATAATTTTTACTCTGGGGATTTTGCTGAGAATCTTTGAAAGATTGGTTATGTGTGTGCTTTTTTTTCCTTACAGCACTTTTTATCCTCATGCCACAACTTGAAAATGGAACAAACTACAGGAGGTTTTAATTTTGTCCTACTGGGAAGAACAGGAGCTGGGAAGAGTGCATCAGGAAACACAATACTGGGACGAGAAGCTTTCAAATCAAAGAAAAGCTCTAGATCAGTCACACAAGATGTAGCTGTTGAATCTGGAACTGTTAAAGGGTTTCCAGTCACTGTTTATGACACACCAGGATTATTTGATACAGAGATGAGTGAACAGAAGATTCAGCAGAAATATGAAGAGGTTCTTCAGAGATGTGAATCAGATCTCTGTGTGTTTCTGCTGGTCATCAAAGCTGACAGATTCACTGAAGAAGAGAGAAAAACTGTGGAGAAGATTGAGGAGCTGTTAGGAGAAGAGCGCTTGAAGAAAACCTGGATTCTCTTCACCAGAGCAGATGAATTAGAAAATGAAAATATGACAATAGATGAATTCCTTGATGACACTGAACCACTGAAGACACTCGTTCAGAAATATGATCAGAGATATCATGTGTTCAACAACAAGAAGGAAAATAACAAGCTGTTACAAGCTGAAATGCTGCTTGCAAAAATAATTAAGTCATACATGGACACAGGTGAGTCTTTTATAATAATAATACATATCCATGGACATATTTTAATCCATATTATTTTAATTTAATAAGGATTTTTTTCTTTATCATGTAATAGAAGAAGATGCAGAGAAGAATCCATGGATGAGGAAAATACCAGACAACATTGAACCAGACAGTCTCTCCTGCTATCCTGCTGCCAGTCCCTCATCCAGACGGATTGTTCTTCTGGGTAAAACTGGTTTTGGGAAGAGTGCAGCTGGAAACACAATACTGGGACAGAGAGAGTTTAACTCTGTGATGAGAATGAATTCAGTAACCAGTGAATGTTCAGATGCTCACGCCACTGTTTCAGGCAGATCTGTGTCTGTAGTTGATACTCCTGGATTCTTTGACACAAAGATGAGACATGAAGAGTTAGTGACAGAGATAGCGAGAAGTATTTATATATCCAGTCCTGGACCGCACGCTTTCCTCATTGTGTTTCCTGTGAATATGAGATTCACTGATCATGAGCTGCAGATTCCTCAGATCATTGAGATGTTGTTTGGTAAAGAAGTGTTAAAATACTCCATCATTCTCTTCACTCATGGAGATCAGCTAGAAGGAAAGTCTGTTGAGAAACTCATTGAGGAGAGCAGCAGATTAAGACATCTAGTTGGTCAGTGTGGAGGCAGATATCACGTCTTCAACAATAGAGATGTGAATGACAGAAAGCAGGTGAATGATCTACTGAAGAAGATTGACACAATGATAGAGCAGAATGGAGGAGGACACTACAGTAATCAGATGTATGAAGATGCTGAGAGATTCAGACGAGAGGAAGAAGAGAGGGGACAGAGAGAGAAGGAGAGAAAAGAGAGAGAGGAAAAGGAGAGAAAACAACAAGAGGAGAAACGAAGACAAGATAAAGAAAAGAGGAGACAAGAGGAGATTGAGAGAGTGAAAAAGGAGAAAATCAGAGCAGAGATGGAAGATCAACTGAAGACTGAACAAAAGGGACTTGTAGTAAAGAGACAGAAAGAGGACAAGGAGAGAAAACAAAAAGAGAAACAAAGACAAGAGGAGACTGAGAGAGTGATAAAGATGAAGGGGGAAGGAATCGGCGCAGAGATGGAAGCTTTAGAGAATAAAATACAAGAGGAAAAAGATGGAGCAAATAAAAAAGAGACTGGATTTACTCAATTTCTATCCAAGTATTGGTGCTGTATTTTAAAAGGTGTAGCTCTGGGTGGATTGAGCGTTGGATTGTTTGGTGGAGTGGTTGGTGCTGCTACTGCCAAATGTGGATTTGTTTTATATGGTGCTGGAGTAGGTGCTTTAGTTGGTGTTGGAGTTGGTGCTTTAGTTGGAGGTGGCGCAGTGTATTACGTCAAAAAACGTGAAGAGGAGAAACAAAGACTAGATGAAGAAAAGAGGAGAAAAGAGGAGATTAAGAGTATAAAAGAGGAGATTGAGAGAATGAGAAATGAGGTAAAAGACATGGAAGCTGCAGAGAAGAAGGCTCAACTTAATTTTGAAAAAGAAAGCATAGTAATAAAGAGACAGAGAGAGGACGAGGACAGAAAACAAGAGAAACAAAGACGAGATGAGATTGAGAGAGTGCTAAAGTTGATGGGATAGATTCCGAGCAGAGATGGTAACTTTTAAATTGTGCCTAAAACATAAAACACAATTCATACATTTCAAATAAATATCAAGTCACCTTTATTTATAAAGTCCTTTATACAATAAAGAAACTTATTTAACCCATCATTCTATCATGTATTAAAGGGATAGTTCACTTTGAAATTAATTTTTGATATGTTTTATCTTACCTCAAGGGCATCCAAGATGTAGGTGTCTTATTTCAGCAGTATTTTCAATTTTGACATTTTTAGGTCAAACCGTTCTTGTCTGTCAGTCATATAATGGAGGTCTATGGTCACCACCTCAAAGAGCATGCACAGAGAAGTCCAAATTAAACATGATTTAATGATTTGTAAATGTAAGTACACATTGATGGACTAAGACACGAAACGAGCGGTTTGTGTGAGAAAACGAACAGTATTTATATTATTTTTACCTAGTGTAATCACAGCCACAAAGCGCCTGCGCCCTCAGATCACTTGGACGTGGCTGTGGTTACAAGAGGTAAAAACGATATAAATACTGTTCGTTTTCTCACAAAAACCGCTCGTTTTGTGTCTTAGGCCATCAATGTGTACTTACATTTACGAGTCATTAAATCATGTTTAATCTTAAAGTGAACTATCCCTTTAATCCATTTTAAGGACCCTTCCACCACAAAGTCTGCACTCTCAGAAAAAGGGGTACAGCAGGGGTCCATTTTTGTCCCCCAAGTTACAATCTATACTAATGTACTTGGGCTGGGCTATATATATAACAAATACATTGTTATGCACATCTCATCAGTAAAGCCGGTTCCTTGATTAGCAGTAAATCACCTTCACCTGCTTTCAGATGGAAGATATGATGCAGATATAAGTGTTAAATGAACACTCAAGAGTGTTAAAGTTAATGAGATAATTAAGTGATTAATTTAGTGATGATTGAGCATTATGGAAGACACCTGATAATAACAAGTGTTTGGTGATGTTTGCTTTAGTTGGGCTCTTGACCCTTATACTTTCACTTTCAATTTTGTTAGTCTGCTGTTATTGATTTATAACAGTCAAATGAACAGAGAAAAATGTGATCTGATAGTGTTGGTTATGTTTTGGCGTAATCATGCTGTGATTTGATAAATGAAACTTATTGAGATGATTTAGTTCAACTTATTAGCAACAGCTTTGTAATTCAACAATATATGATTATCATTATTTTCTAATAATCCAAAAAATATTTATTAAACATTGTCCTGGTAAAAAAAAAAAAACTTTCAAATAAATTTATTTAGAAACGCATACATCAATAATCAGCCTGTGAATCTCACCAATCACAACTCATTAATGGCTCCCATCATGCATTGCGGTATGAATAAATTATGATCTGAATCATCTATGTAATTTACTTTTCCTAATTGACCCTTCACTAAGCCCCGCCCTCCCTAGTTACTGTTGCTACGCCTGTCAAGCTTTCACGCCTGGCACGTCTTTTACAGTGTGTATGCACTGGTGTCAGACATTCCCAAGGAGATAATTACTCATTTTTGGTGAACATGTGAAATATCTGAGAGAGCCTGACTAAAGGGACTGCACTATGCATTCGAGGGATATATCTACGACATAATATTCAATCGAGTGAAGAATAATTTCATAAAAATTTAAGCTAAAGCCTATCCCAGCGCAAGCAGACGCCGCCTCATATGCTGACCATTCAACTGGGTAACACACAAATTGAGGAACAGCTATGCTTGTGCTCATCAGAGTAAGTGAATGTGAAAATAATCTAATATTTATAAATCAAACTGCTTATCCATATATCTTGTGGAAAAACGGTAACACCGGGAGAGCCGAGATCGGATTGGGTTAAAGTTACTCAGTCAGGAGTTGGCCGTCGATTAACAAAATGCTGAAATATATTAAAAATTATTTCAGTGAGCCTCAGTCTTGTCTTTAATGGTTTTATTTTACGTTAAATATATGCATGATGAACAAAGAACGGTCATTATTCCAAGCTAGGTGTTTGTGTTAATCCTGTCTTCATTTAGCTGTGAATGGGTCTCCCACTGCTTGATCCACGCCCATCATTTCTCCCCTTGCCTTTTAGATGTTCCGGAAGGGGAAAAAATGCACTCCCCCATCCAAACTTTGAGGATACCGGGTATCAGATTTGCACAATCCATACACACAACGCGTTGGCATGATTCCCTTGCTCAAAAGCTTGCCATACCTCCCATAACTAGTTACGTTTGCTAAGACATGATTGGCCAGTGGCAGTTTTTGGGCGTAGTTTAGCGAAGGGTCAATTGAATATTCTGCTTGTCACCATTGTTGAGATGCATTTACTGAATCTTGAGGTCTGTGTGTGCCTAAAAGAAAGATTTTTTTTTTAACAATTTCTAGGAAATCTTTTATATTATATCTAAATTCTGGATATTTATGCAGAATCGCAGTTATGCTGTAACCAACAGTAGGGGTGGGCAGGTCGAGGCTTTGTGAAGCAATGAATCAGTTGAAGCAAATGTGCGATATTTTTTTGAGGCTTCGAATCAATCCGACACCCGTCTCCATGGTGACATCTAGTGGTCACTTGCAGGTGTTGATCTGAAACAACCTTTTCAACGAGCCAGTAAAAATGTGTTGTTTTTTTATTATTGTACTTTTCTAACATATGAAGCTTGTAACCTGTAGACTCATCACATTGCATAATGCTATTTTGTTCATGAAAAATGAATATTAATAAAAGAAATCAAGCCACAATGTCTCACTTTTTTATTTATTTTTATTCAAAAAAATTAATTTCTCTGCTGTCGAAGTACTCAGCCTACTTCTTTTTTTGCTGATAATTTCTTCGGCTTTTTGAAAAAATTCTCTCACAAGAGATTCTTGTTGCTGGCATGCAAAGATATTTTTTTTAGGAAAGACATACAAATGAGGAAAGATTACTGCTCTCTCTTACCAGTAAGTTAAGGGATCATGACTTCTGGGCAAAAACTAAATTATGTCTTGGCTGTAGATTGGGTACTCATATGTAGACCTTTAAAATGTATATTCACAAAATATTATATTATATTGACAACACATATTATATTCACAGTGAAGCTGTTTTTAACTTGATTGGCAGTTGTGATGGGACGTTAGACTCGGGAGTGGACAATACCGAGTTGTCTCAGAGAGTGATTCATTCCTTTTGAGTTACCCGCGCATGAGCATTGCGCAATTTGGGTTCTGTATCAGAAATGATTAGTTAATCTCTGGCTGTGTCCGAAATCTCCACTTAAACCACAGGCCTACTCCCTACCCCCTATGTTGGGGGTAGGGAATAGAGCACTATATAGTGAGCTCACCAGCATATTAGAAACACCACTTTCGGACACTACTCGATCGTCTCTCGGCGCCGTTGATTTAGGGCTGGGCGATATAGGCCTATCGCATCACGTTGTCGTGCGCATCTCGTCAGTAAAGCCGGTTCCTTATAGCCTGGGAAAACCCAGACAACTTCTGGCAAATTTAGATTTGCTCTGAAAGTTAAGTTAGTCTGGCATTCAAGCCCATTTCTAATCCGTTGAAATCGCGGCACCAATCAGAAACATTGGGGCGGGCTTTACATAGGCTTATTTTGCTTGTTTATACCCGCAGTGCAGTGCAGAAAATCTTATGACAACAATAAGGTCTAAATGTAACTGGCCCCTCTAACTGGACCCAGCAGTTGAAACCCAGTTGAAATGGTCTAGAACCGCCCCTGAGTACTGCTGCCCAGGTTCAATAGTTACGTCGTACACATCTGTGATCCTTACCCGATCTAGACCCTATGGACTATGTGCACGTTAGCATATGCTAGTTCCGGCTGCGAAACCGATATGGGGTGTCTAGTTTCCGGTAGCCTGATGGACGACGTAGAGGATGTATGTTTCTCCAGATGTCTTGAACATTTGCCGAATATTACAGTCGATTATGTTCATCGACTGGCTAATGATTTTCCTCCAGCTCCCCAGAGCAAGAGAGAAGGGGTTTAAATATTACATTTCTCAGTATTTGCATCATTTTGAAGGGAACGTTAAGTCACAACAACATCCATGCTCAGACTGATCTCATGAAATTGCGTATGTATGACACGTATCACGTATTTTTGGCATGCTATCAACACGCATAATCTCTTTTCAGCGTGTTTATGAATACCGTTGACTTAACGTTATTATTGTGTATATATATATATATATATATATATATATATATATATACAGTGTATATATATAGCATATGACCTACCTCAACCCCAACCTACCCGTCACTCCTACCATCCTAGGAAAAAATAAATATCGCTCCCCAAATGTAGTCCTACATTTTGTTTTGTTTCGCTCGGACATTTGACGGCGTGTAGCACGCAGTACACGTGGAATCACTCGGACATTAATGTTGCCATGCTACGTGCTCAAGCTATGCGATTTGGTAACTGTTATATCTCTCTATACATTATAAAATGCGAAATCATGCCGCCATTTTCCAGAACAGTTTGTGTTGGCCATTGTTTTGTTTATGATGTTCAGATGCTATGTTGTTGACAACCACTAGCTATCTATATAGAATGTCATATAGATCAGTGTTGACAACCACTATACATGTCATACACATACAGGGAGTAAAGGTATCCGACGTTCGTTCGTTATCAAGTTAGGCTGTTAAACACATATTAGGCTGTTCACACATATTTCTAAACAGGTCTCCCTTGCAAAATAGGTTCTAAACCCAGGGGCTTCCCCTGGTTAAAGGGTATAATATAATAAATAATTAGTAGCCTAAAAACTTCCTTCTAGTTGTCATGGATACGCAACGCTCCACTCTGTGAAGCGACTGCTTGGGTGCGGTGACAAAATGTGAAATATTGTTTACTTTTCACAATGCAGCAGCGCCTGGCTCCACCCAAATATGAGTGAAAACTGTGTTGGTTGACTTGACAATGAACAAACGAACATAGTTTTAGACAAATATATTTAGATAGCTAAGCTTTAGATAGCCGGTCCACTGATGTAGGATGTAAACAACGGCAACCGGAACCGAAGTACCCAACATCCGCCCTCAAGGCGGAAGTTAGCATTTTTCTCGTGCACAGAGTCAATTGGATGAGTTTAACGTCATAACCGGGGGCGTGGCAAGATGGCGGAGAGAGCGGACGCTCTGTGAATAGCTCAGAGTAGCAAAACCTTTAAAATCAACGGAATGTTCTTATAACTTATCA